AGTGACGCAAGAAGACGAGAAAAGCAAACAATGTTGCAAGAGCTTTGGCTCACAGGAATGCCAAAAATCAACAGCCTCAGGCACTCCGTGTATAAGCTCTGACCTGTTTACCCAGTCATGCTTCTAAATTATGCAGTTGCTTCCATAAATGTTGTCTATAGTCAGGTCACTGCAGATTCCATACTGTGCCGCCCACCTTGACTAACCCAAAGCTTTTACTATCATTTGTGAGTGCTGTCATCTTTCAAGCTGGATTTAATGGCTGAGGCTACAACCTCAAACATTATTAGACTTCTTTATGAGATTTTTTTATATGAATCTTAACCACACTGTAGAGAATAACTGAAACCTTAAAGAATGAGCTGAACTGTATTCCCCTGTTCTTCTCTTAGAAGGTTTTTGCAGCAATGGTGTATGATTAAAAAAAAATACAAAAATAAAATAAAAAAAAACACTAGATTCGGTCATAACATTTTTTCTAAAAAAGTTTCACATTCGTTTTTAAGTAATGTGTTTGTTACTTATGTGAGTCATGCAATACTACAGTTTAAAAAGATTATAATTAGAAATTCATTATAATTAGAAAACAGGGGCAAAGCCTACAGCCACCCAAAACTGCTGAGGTTGCCATCAAAGCATGGACAGCATGCATACTATGTATTTTGGTACTGTTCTTTGACAACATGCAGCACTCAGAACTAGCTTGTCATTCTCAGCGACTCACAACTGAGGTTTTAGATTCACATTTTTTTATCAGAAATTAATTAATACTAAGTTAATAAGTGTAAAAGTATTCTCACAAGAAGCACAAAAATCTCCTAAACTAAGACAGTACAATTATAAAAGATGGAAAACTTAGATGGAAATAGAGATTTTAGTCATCTTCCTTGAATGAACACCTGAGACTTTTGTTCTGCAGAACAAGTTGCACAAATACACTATATGATGGAATTGGTGCAAATTGGAGTGAATGTATACAATGATGGGCATAAGCAACAATACACAAAGTTATATCATGCTCAATCAAGTGTACAAAATGTTTTTTTCAAGGATCTAGGTGGTCTACCTCTTGCTACAGACATAGGGATAGCATGCCCAGAGAGGGAAATGAAGGGTCAGACATGACTTAATAACTATTGTGACTGAAAACAGCACAAAATCCCAGTCACAAGGGAAAGTACATCTACGTGCACCATCAGTATCTCTTCTCATCAGTCTGGGGCTGTTATACTCATAACCTACAGGATTAGAGGGGAATGACTGAAGCAGGACACTGAAGGTCGTGCATTATTTCAGCAAGATACAAATTAAAGCAGTGACCTATAGCACTGGCTCGCTCCTCTTCTCAGGCAGGAGTCACATCTGATCCAATCTCATCTATACACACTTACCACAGTTACTGGCTACAAACTGCATTTCTCCAACTCCGTTGCGCAAAATATAACAAAGGCAAATGCATGTAGACATACTAGACAGCATAGACAGGCATAAAATATATGTATAGGGAAAAATGTATATATAAGTAACGTTGTACGTGTTGCATGTTGTATAGAAAAATATTGCTCATTGTTCTCAGTGATGGTATTATTGCTAAGTATAACAGGAAATATAAACTTGACACTGGTGAATAGTGATAAAGTGCTCAAGTGCTGAGAACACTGAAAATATTGCTAAGAAAATAGCTGCATTTTTAAGACAGAAGATATGAGTTCCAATAAATGTGTTTAGACAGCCTGTATGTATGTTCAGGAGTTCAACAGTACTGATAGGTCAGCATGTTGTGTTTTGTTAGAGGGAGGTGAGTAGTCTGATGGGCTGTGGGAAGAAGCTTTTGCCGAGTCTGTCTAAGCATGATGCTAGAGAACGTGTCTAATCTTTTCTACGAAGGGCGGTGTGGCTGCCGGTTTTCATTCCACATTAGCAGGAGCACACCTGATTCCACTTGTTTAATCAGTCAGTCCAAGTCAACAGCAACTGATCAGATGAGCTCCCACTTTGTTGGAATGAAAATCTGCAGACAAGCAGGCCCTCTGCAGATAAGATTAGACACCCCCTGCTCTAAAGCAACAAAAGAACTTCAGTCGGATCATCTCTGCCCCAGCAATGCACATTCTAGTTTTAGAGTTATCTTAAGATCTAGATCTGCCATAGATCCAGTTCAGGAATTTCTGAATAGATGAATAACATAACAGAATTTCAAGTACAACAAACACACTCAAAGGTAATACTGATAAAGTAAAGCCCATAAATTCACTCCTGAAGTTTAAGGAAAAAATAAATAAATAAATAACAACTACTCACAAGATTTCTCCTAACACCCTATTTCACAAAGCAGTATTTCTCAGTTTAGCCAGATAATTTAAGCCCAAAGTCAAGCATATGCAATAGCAAAAGAGCTGAGGAACATTCATATTGGACAGTTCTCATCTTTGAGCTTAAGTTGTCTGGCTAACTGAAAATAAATCCTGCTCTATGAAATACTCCCTAAATAAAATGCGTCCCTTTATATGAAGAGTTTAATTCCAAAATGCTTGTATATCCATTTGTAACAAGGCAAGATTTGACAAGTGTAACAGCTGACATACACACTTTTTTATTTCTCTAATAAAAGTGATATTACTCATAATGCAACACTAAAATTGTTTGTATGGGCAAAACCCACCCCAAACAACTTGTATGGTGCAAAAAGCACATTTAATGCAATGTATTAAATACACTGTCCCTAACCTTACGTTCTCTATATCAGTTACCCAGTCATAGTAACCCTATGCTCTGCACATTTTTGTGTTTTTCCCACTCTACACACTTAACCCAGCAAACGAGGTGCTTGTTAATTACTTAATGAGTTGAATCAGGTTAGCTCGATGGGACAAAGCACAAAAATGTGCACAGTGTTGTGTCACCAGGACTGGGATTGGGAACCCCTGCTCTATATCTAAGATTTAGGAGCTCATGTTTAAACCAGCAGCAGTAACCTTCAGCCTGATGAGCCACATTCTAAATACACTCTATTGCGCTTGATCCATCAAAGGCCACGCTGATATTCGTTCCAACTCTGTACAGCACCACCTGGCTTAACTAATGAGCTCACCTCATTTGTGAAGGCAGGCATCACTGAGGGAAATACCTGCACACAACGTACCTCTTGACAGGTCACACTGAGGGCAATTCTGTTTACCTGATGTACTACACAAGTGTACTGGTGTTTTCTTCTAAACAGATCTCAGCTTATAAGCCATGCGTGTAAATAAACAGTAGATTTACACCTGTGTGTGATTTTTTGGCTAATTTGTGGATCTAGTACTGTGATTCTAGGCTGTCAGAAAGCTGACTAAATTTACAGCAGTCACTTGTGTTCTGTTTTCTGATGTTTACAGTACTTGACAGCGGGAATGTGCCCTTGATATGCTACAGGACGACATGGTTTGCTTTGCTTCTAGGTGTGGTTCATGGGCCAAAAGGTCATTTGTTTGTTGTGAAGGACGTTGTTATAAAAAGGCCATTGCAAAGACAACTGATTTAAACAAATCAGCACAGTGACAAGTTAAGCATGTAATAAAACCTGAGCCTGACACCAGCTGTATATGCTTTTTCCGCCCCATACACTGGTATGGAGGAAGTATTGAGAGCATTCCATCCTGTCTTTCCCTGTAAGACTAAAGGAGCATTAACTTTACAACCAAAGATAAAGATGTGCAGATAAAGCCTGCATACTGTCTACAATCTCTCTACAAGTCAGTGGATGGGTTTCATTATACAGGGATGTCAAACGCCAGGTGTGTTTGTGGCTCTATGGTAACCTTGTGTGGGTGAATATCAGTTTTCTTTAGATGAGGTGACGGGGAGATAGGGTAACACATTGCTGTCATCCAGAGAGGGTGAACTGCCCAGCCTTAGTCACTGCTCCCAGACTATGACGTAACAGACTTCCCTTTTCCAAGAGTAACCACAAATACGATCTTTGGGAGGTTTATGGCTGGCTTAGACTAGATGCACAGCCCACACTGAACTATTTTCTATTTCAAGCGTGATAAAATGGAGGTGTGCCAACCAACAGCTTGTAAGTCTACCAGTGGAAAAACTGATTTTTAAAAGGGGCGCATTCTAGTGATTTTGGCAGACATCAACACTTCCATGCCAGATCTAAACGTGCTGAGTGTATCACCACTGACCCAAACTTGCTATACTGATGTCTATTAACTTCTGCTCATTTGTTGTTAACTACACATTAACTATGCATAATATTACTTTTCTCACTCATGAGAATCCTTCCAAATTTAGAGAACTTCTAGAAGTCTGCAGTGCGGTTCACTCAGCACTCTCTTATAAAGGGTTACAGCTGTTACGTCTCTCGGATGGAGCCCACATGATCTTCTGAGACAAACCCAAAACTTCACTGGCCTCCCAGCACACTTCAAACTGCTGCAACAACTTCCTCATTAGCCAAGTCAGAGCACGTAGCTTCACAGAAAAGCCAGAAAGAAAACTCCGAAAAAAAACCCCCAGACTCCACTCGCCTGGCTTCTGAAAACACTTGCTAGCAACAAGTACGAGTTTCGATGCTAAAGGGACTCAAAGAGGTATTTTTTTTTTTACCGGTAATAACTAACTTAATGCTAACCAGCGGCTACAATCTGTTAGCTTTATGAATAATCACGCCAGGCAAACGGACAAGTTAGCTAACCTGCAGCTCTTAAGGTTAACCCTGTAGGGCCAGTGCTGTATGAAGTAAACTGCTCCAACATGACAGCAGCGGTGAACCTGTACAAGGCTGAAGTTGGCTTCCTATTCGAATTCTCCCGTTCCACCTTAAATGGTGCAGCAGTTACGTTTTGACGCTTCAGGCCTGAGGCGCCAGAATGGCACTGCTGCACCATTTAAGGTGGAACGGGAAAATTCGAACGAGAAGCTGGTGAATAAGAAGCTGACTTCAGCTTCGTGGAACCTGTGGGAAAACACCTAACGCTACATAACGCACGAATGAGGGAAAAAATACTTACAAATTTCTTCTTCTCATTTCCCTCCTCGTAAGTTTTCTTCGGCTTTTTCTCTTTGCCGCTTTTCGACGTGGCCGCAGCGGCAGCCGGCGCTGAATTCCCAGAGTTAGAGGGATCCATGATAAATCTAATCCAAAAAAGAAAGTAGTATCCAACGCGCCAGCGCTTCGATAAACGGCTAACTTAAGTGTGCGTTAGAGTCAGTTTAACTGAGTTTCCTCTGCTTCCTCCCTCCCTCCAGACAGGGGCTGCTAGCAAAGTCACTAACTACCCGCGGCCTGAATGCTAACCCAGCAGAGACCCCAGTCAGGCTCCCCACATAAAGAAAAAGGGAGGGAAATTTGAACAGGAGCCCCAAAAAGAAGAACCACGAAGGACTGCTGTTATTTTAAACCTCTTCTTTTCAACACAGTTCACCAAAGTATAAACACAAACACTTTAAACGTCGCCCAGCTAGTAAACCGCCCCGGTTTGGCTAACGTTCACTACTTGTAGGTTAGTAACTACAGCAACAGCTCTCCAGACGCCGCCTGTCCGCTCTTTACAACCCCGGAACTTCACCGGCCCGTCACTGTAACATCCACTGGACCGTAATCCCACCGACGAAGGTCACGACGCGGGCATTTTTTAACTTTATGCCCGTAAAAAAGTTTCCTCAGGCGGCCGTGTTTACCGAAGAGCAGCAGCAGAGCGCGGCTCGGCTCTTCTCTTCCTGCCTCTCTCTGGCAGGTTAGCAGCGCGAGGGCGGGGCTACGCACGAGGGCCTCACCTGAGTGTCTGCGCGTATAAGTGTGTGTTTCACTTTTAAAAACTAGTTCACAGTACCACACTCTTTAAAACATGGTTCTCCAAGGGTTCTTTAGTAAAGTGAATGGATCTATTTACAACCATAAGTTCTACATAGAACCATTTCATGCTTAAATGGTTCTTCAGATCAATGCAGAACGTGTTTTGTATGGTTCTGTATAGTACCTTTTTTTAAGGTGGTTCTACATATCAGCAAAAACCGTTCTTCTATTGATAAAAGCTTGACATCGTAAAAATTGCCGAGCCCTTGACAATAAGGTTCTATATAGAACGATATACACCACATGCTCTATCAACCTGAAGAACCATTTAAACATCAAATGGTTCTATATAGATCTCATGGCTCTAAATAGAACCATCGCTTTTACTAAAAAGCCATTGATGAACCCCTTTTTTTTAAGAGTGTGGTTTAGTGGGGATTTAATACCTCCTGGGCTTCACACTGCTCTTAAATACAGCCTGTGTCCGAGTAATGTCAGTTCACAAGCTGCGCTTACAGCGTTAATTATGGTTTAACTGACCACACGTTTCGAGCCATTAGTAAAATAAAGGGCTGGTACATACAGACGGCTTTCACATTAAAAGTCGTTTAAATCCGCAGAATCTGTAATTATGTGTAGGCTGGAGGCAGCTTTGATGACAGTTTTTTACCGGAGAGCTCCACCATGTGTTGAGAAAAGGAACAGCAGCCTGAGCGTCAGGTTCAAAGGCCAAGGCCCAGAGGTCGAAGGGGAATTCCACTGATTTTTAAACAAAATTTCTTCAAAATTCATTCGTTGATACGTACAGACTCAGATTTCCTTACAGTGGTGGTGATAGGAACCAGGGATTGCAATGGCCACAACACAATATTGCCATTTTACTTACCATCCAATAAATCAAGTGAACCTACACGTCTTCTGAGTTTTTATATGCTGATAATGGTAAAAGTACGGAGCCCTGCTGGTGACATCCTGTGTAAATAAAAGTAATGTGTGGCCACGCCTTATTAACACGTGGGAACGAGGTCCTAATGTGGCCATGACTTAGTAAGCCTTAGTACTTAGTAAGCCTTCCCATGCCTTACTACGTGGTGGCCACGCATTAGGTTCTCGTTCCCATGCTTTACTAAGTCATGGCCACAACTTAATCATCTCATTCCCACGCTTTACTAAGTCATGGCCATGCATTATTTTTATTTATACAGGATGTCACCAGCGGGGCTCCGTATAAAAGAGCACCTGGACGGCTTTGCTTTTGCTCACATCTCTCCCTACGGAGCCCCGCTGGTGACATCCTGTATAAATAAAAATAATGCGTGGCCACGACTTAGTAAGGCGTGGGAATGAGATGATTAAGTCGTGGCCACGACTTAGTAAAGCGTGGGAACGAGATCCTAATGCGTGGCCACGACTTAGTAAGCCGTGATCTCGTTCCCACGCCTTACTAAGTCGTGGCCACGACTTAATCATCTCATTCCCATGCCTTACTAAGTCGTGGCCACGCATTAGGATCTCGTTCCCACGCGTTAATAAGGCGTGGCCACGCATTATTTTTATTTATACAGGATGTCACCAGCGGGGCTCCGTACTCCCTTTTAGAGCATTAGCATTTTATTTTAGACCAAGGGAGCCCAAACCTTTCATATATGGGGTCAGTTGTGGTGGGCTGAGGGCCAAAAAGACTAGACAATATACAAAAAAGGTAGGCAGGTTTCAAATCAAGGTTTTGAAAATGTATTTTACAATATTACATTATATTGTGTTACTAAAATTCCTGCACAATTCAATTGGTGAGATGTAAACAAGTCACTCTGAGTGGCTTAAAGTGAAATAGTGCATTGAGGAAAAACTTACAGCCTCAGATTTCTTTATAGTGGTGCTAATAGGAACCAGGAAATGTGATGTTCACAGCACAAATATGGCCATTTTATTCAAAGCAACCATGGAGCCTACATGTGTCTTCTGACTGTTCATATGTGTTAGCAAAATAGTGATAAATCTGAAAAAAATTAGTTTTCTTTTGGGGACTATGGACTATTATGCCTTATATGACCTTCATGAACCAGTCTGGTATGGGTTGAAAAAATATGTTTCGGGCCAAAAGCTTATCACAAAACTATCATAAAACAATGTCTTGGGCATCAGATAATGGATTCATAACCAATTCATGTCATAACTTTGTGTTATTGCTTTTAAAGGCATTAAACTCTTCAGTTTCTCCAGTTCCTGTCATGATCTCTGTAAACAGTTCTGATTCAGTAGGTTTCTCTAGAATGGAGCACTTCAAACCACTCTGAATGACTTTGTTTACAAAAGGCGTCTGCTTTTTCTTTCTCAGTCCCATTTTAGTCCTTCACAGTTAGGTTATTTTTTGTGTCTAATTTCATTCCGTTCTGTTGGCAAGAGCTGCAACAAACTTTTGTCTTAGGGGGCTAAAATGCTATGTTTGTGGTGGGCCGAGGGCCAAAAAGACTAGACAATATACAAATAAAAGGTAGGCAGGTTTTAAATCAAGTTTTTGAAAATGTGTGTTTTAACATTATGCTATATTTTGTTACAAAATACTGGAAAAATACCATTTTGAAAAGGAAAATAAGATTTTGTTAAGTTATTTAAGGTATTAAAAATCTGTTTGTTCTCTCATTAGGTACGAGGGTGGGGTTAGGGTGACCTTCCAAATTAAAAGTCCTCATGGGCCAAGTTTGGCTTTTGGGCCACACTTTGGGCAGCCCAGTTTTAGTCCAAAAAGAGACGAATAGCGTCTAACAGTTCTTCCTATGCTGACAGATGCTGGATATACTAAGACATTTTACTGCAGGGAACTCTTAGCTACAGCATGTTTTTCCACATGATTCGTTTTTGGCAGCTAGTTTTGCTTCTACTTTGCTTCTCTCACACTATTTCGCTGAAGGATGGTTTAGGCTACTCTCCTTACTTCTCTTTAAAATGACACATCCATAAGATTTAACCAATAGGTCCCAAAGCTGTCATTTCTAAAATGTAAACTCTAACTCAAAACTGAAGCCCGCTGCATAGCTCAACTCACATTTTTGACTTAGTTTAAAACTTTGAAGAGCCGTACAAGAAATCCTGCTGACTTCTGCCTTATACTTGCTTTATTTGGTCAAGTGTAGAATTAACAGTCAGCGGATACTTAAGCCTGTCAAAAAAAGATAGTTTTGGCACACCAGTCATCTTTTAGAGCTGCACGAAAGCTAATGTCACTCTGCTCATGCAAATTCAATGCCATATTGTCCATAACAGTCTCTTCTTGGAAAATGTGCTGACTCAAGCCAGTTTTATTTTGGTTGCCTTCCAGCTGATGCGATTAAGTATTATCATTGCTTCTGCGCTCATTTCCATTTACATTTACACGCTCCCCCATCCGCCCACATCTGCGCACATGCGCAACAGTGTGTGTTTGCTCTCTGACGCACTGGTGCACCTCTAAGCGCTCTTCTCTCAGCGGGCAGCAATGATAGCTTCATCATCACCATTTAGCCATTCACATTAGCTGATCTTTGGTGGGTGATGCAAAAATAGATACCACTCACACACTTACCCACATACACACTTTCACATGGACACACAAACCCACACATGCATGTATTCCTGTCTCTGTAGGGTATGTCCATTGACTTGTGCAGCTGATTGATGATTTTTTGAGATCTTTTGCTTTTTCACTTTTTCCACATAAAATTTGTATTAAAAAGATGCTTTCATTTTTGGGGGGATCCAATCAAATGTCCCCACAACAACAAATGTTTCCCTGTCATTCACCCTGGAGCCATTCGGTCCCTACAATGAGCCATACAAGCACACATACACACTACAGCAACAGTAATGCTCTTAAGCATGGCTGATCACTGACTGGCTGCACGCCACTGCTGTTATAAGGCCAGTCAAAGGGCAGTCAGACATTTTTAATAAGGCCCATTATAATGGTTATGGCCTTTTAGGCATGCTCCATTGCTCCAATGAATGGAATTCATTGAAAAAGCTACTGAAGAAAGTGGCATGACAATGAGTCCTGCCCTCACATTTTGGAAATGGCGCCACCACGTCTTCTCTTTTTTCTTTCTGTCCCCTGGGGCCCTTTTTTGGCGCATCACACCTGCTTTCCAGTATGTGTGATGCTAAGCTGGAGGCGGATTAGAGCGGATAGAGTGATCTCTATCAGGGCACGGCGCCTTGTGTTGTATAGGAGCCAGGAACACCGAGATATGCCCAACTAATCTCCCCCAGCATATGCACGTCTTCGTCAGAGCCACGCACATCACTGCAAAGACACTGTAATTAAAAAAGAAGAAGACCAAGGCTATTAACTGAAAGTGCACTCCACATGATTTGGGGTGTGAAACAGTGATAAGCTCATGCATGATCTGTGCTGTCAGGAGAAAGATTAAAATAATTTTTCATGCTTTCATCTTTTTCACATAATCGCCAGTAAGCACTGGAGTCACTCCACAGCAAAATCGCCATGCTAAATGAACACCTGCAGTGGACATTTGAAAACAAGGCAGTTTCACTCATCTCAGATTTATACGGTGGGTGTGTCTCAGGCCGTGTCTCACTATCTAGTGAGCTCTCTACATAGCCGGCAGTTTAAGTCTTCAAGTGCACATCCCTGACAAGAAAGCTGTCTCAATTCTTGGATATGTTAAATATGCTACATACTTACATAAGTAAATAAATAAGTAAATAAGTATCTTCTTTTGTCCAAATAGGCAACATCATATTGTTGCTGTCGAGACAAAACCTTGTATCCTATTTTTCTAATTTTTATTTTTTAACATTATTTGAAAATGCCAGTTGCCCTTTACAATGTATTAAAATTGTATGACAAATCAACCAATAGAAATCATCGAGAATAACTTATAAAAAACTCTTGTTCCATTAACTTCCATTCAAAGTTTTGTCCTTCTCCTGTAAAGT